AAAAAAAAAAAAAAAAAATTCATATTTCAACTCACCGTAAATTCTAAGAAGAAGTGCAATGGGGACTTATCTATGCCATAGCTGAAAGAGATGAAGTATGGTAGGGGCGGCACTAATGGTGTCTCTAGATAGATTTGCAAGAAGGACCAGTTGCTTAGTAAGACATCTTCATAAGGCTGAATAAAGAGTTTCATTTGAGGAGGACCCGTTAAATTGAACTCAAATCGCACAGCTGTGGTATTCTGAATGGTTTTGCTTAGCAAGCTGAGCTCTGTCCGCGCTGGAGGCTCGATTGGTTCAAGGCGGGGCAACTACTTGGCTTCATGGCGATTCAAGACATAAGTCGAATCATATAAAGGCATGCCGCACATCATATGCTGCCCGCATTTCGATTTAAGACTTATCAAGCCAGTCAGATTCACGCTTGTGCCCAAGAGTGGCTTCTCCTTGAGCCGATCTTGAAAGTTAAACAAATAACCAGACTCATCCCGGCTGAGAGTTCCATCGTACTCGTAGAATATATTTCGAACTTGCTGCAACGGGAACAGTTATAGTACTATAAAATATGTATTTAAGTTTCTATTCGATACTCACCAAATATGCAACTCGCTGTCCATTGGTTTTGGCTCTATAAGGAAATCCAATCTGCGTGCTACTAGCTAAGTATAGAGCGAGGGCCGTGATAGTAATCAGAGTGAGCACCACAAAGCTGGGTCGTCGAAAAGTGTTGATTAGCGGTACCTGGAAATGATAGCTATTGATTATCATTTAGAAGACATTTGCATATAAAGCTTACCAAGAAGCCAAATGAAAGTATTGTTCCTGCTGCGGTTAGGAGAGCAATGCTTATGTCTGGGTTAGAAGAACTAAATGAACGACCACCCATTGGAGTCAGCACCACAATAAAGAAGTAAAAAAGGTAGCTGCTGTACAGGAATGGAACTATCTGGCTGACCTTGAGCAAACCTGTCCATGCAAGGCCTCGATCATGCAGCGTAGTTAATAAATTTAAGGCCAAAGCTAGCACATAGAATATAAGTGGAATCACCAATATATATGCAGTTCTCAATCCGTAAGCTGTAAGAGCAATTGTTAAGATTGCCAGGATAACAGCCTGAGCATGCAATGCCAATTGAAGATGATAGGATCTTGATATTTTAGCCTAATAAAGAAAGTAAAATGTAACAAATGCTTGAGTTAAGGTTTTCCCTTGGGGTTTACTACACTTACGTTGTGTGGGAATGAAAAGTAGATGGTCAAGGGCAAGCTAAGCCCAATCAGTGATGGGCACACATATAAGCCGATCAGCAGGAGGGGGCTGCTATAGTAAGTGAGCGATAGCTCCCAATTATCCATTACATGTGCCACAATTAAGGGAAGTGCAAGTCCGAGTGCGCAGCAGATAGTCTGGATGATCAAAACTAATATAAAACCGTGTGCCACATTCGAAAATGATTCATGGGAGACAGCAGACATGCGCCACATCGATAGGAAAACTAAAATCAAGGCAGATCCAGCAGCAGCAAGATTTATAAATATGCCCGTTGTCTCTGAATAATGGATGAAGTAGAGGCCCAGGAAATCGAAGAAGACTGCGTGACCAGCCTCGTGTACCTATAAGATGAATATAAGTTGAGTAAATATAATATTATCGGAAATCCAGCCTTACTTCTGTATCGTGCAGTTCTGTTGCATTAGCCAAGCCTCGCACTAAGCTGAGAATATTATCGCCAGTGTTCTGGAGGGACTCAAGCGGAATTATGTCAATCACGTCGTACTTTGTATGATATACAAAGCCATTTATGCATTGCGCCATATCTAAGCCTAGTTAGTAAGAATTTTAGTGTGAATATTCCATAGCTGGAGACATACCTCATACCTGGTAGTTTTCCGTACTTGTTGAACTGTCGAAAGTCTGTATCTGATGGGATTGTGCCCGACTGGAAGCCTTCCTCCGCCATAGTTGTAGCGAAGGGATATTTAATATATTTTTTGTAGTACTACGAAATCAGATTGTTATCCATAATAATATATAATTCAAACTTTTTCAAATTTTAAACTTACGTCTACCAACCATGGGTGATTAGGTCCACTTTGAAATAGCACTTCTCGCCCACCACTGCCCCCAGCATCGAGATTAACAACGGCTCTACAATTAGAGAATATAACTTCTATTTCTATTCTTGTTATTTGTTCTTCTCACTTGCAGTTCGACGCCCATTTGTGTTGAGTTATAAAGCCATGCGAGCCCTCGAGAGCACCTTCTTCTGCACCATTGAATAGAAATACGATTGGGTGCTGGATACTTTGTTTTGTTGTCGCAATAACACGCAGAACTTCCAGCATCGTGACAATCATAAAGCCGGCATCGCCAGCAGACGGAGTTGCTGGCTTGGAATCGAAGTGACTATTTACGAGGAGATAGGACTCACTTGTGCTGTTTCTGGGCGTTAGCTTCACGGCAATATTTTGTACTCCTTGGTAGACTCGCAGTGAATGTTTTAAAGCGAAAGTTCCAGAGGCCTGTGATAAATCGATTTCCATATGGAAATAATCTCGAAGAGCTTCTTCCTTGATTTGGTTTAGCTCCTTCATCAGGAACTGCACCGCCTCGATCTCATTTCCGTTACTGCCAAGCATTTTCAGACCTATATTAGATAAGCTGTACAATTGTTTGTATGCACGCTGTGCTATGAATTGATTATTGTTCGCGTCATCCATTGTTAGAGCCGCGGGCAAGCGATAGAAAAACGGAATTACAACGGCAAAGAACAATAGTGCCCAAAAGAGCAGGAAACCACTCGCAAAGCACCAGGGCAGCCCTGCGCTTTCCTTCTCTTTGAGAACATTTGCTGGAGCTCCAAAGGAAGTATCCAAAATCTAGAAGTTAACCAATAATTGTGATGTGAGGAAAATTGCGGACTTAATATTGTTTTGCTTACGAGTTTCTCCCTGTCAGCCATGCTGTCTCCAACGACTTCCAATTGCCAACTGTTGAGCTAAAGTATGTATAGAGTGTGTTTTAAGTGTGCACAAACAATATCATTTTCAATAAATTATTTGATATATAATATGTATAAACCAATGTTATAGACTCATCGATGGCCATCGATTTGACAGCGAGGGTTGCTCAGTGGAAAAGAAATACTTTTGATAGCATTTAAACATTATTAATAATTAATATACCTTCTAATTATTATATATAAATACAGTTTTGATTTATTTACTAAACCAAAAGCTCGTGGTGTTTTTTTTTTTCTTTTTTTTTAAATTAAATTCAATATAATTAATCGTTTTGCTTGAATATAAGCTAATAACTTTTCAGGAGCCCCATTTGAGTTTTATCAATAGATTTCTAGTTGAGTACTCCTTATAAATATAAGTCGAAGATTGTGAACGATCATATATATTAAATTTTGATAAAACTAGTTTACTAACTGCATTTCTTTATATATATATATATTTAAGTATTTTGCTTCGATATATGTACTATCTAATTGCTTAATTAGCTTCGCTTTATTTATTACCTAAAATTGATTGCATTGTATTATTCAGAAGCTAAGCTAATTATGATATGGACATTGTGCAAATGTGCGATATAGAAACATTCTATTATACCAAGCTGATAATTGACGAAAATGGTTAATCGTTAACTTTGAAAAATACCAAGTAAACATTTCACATAATGAATATCTCAGCTTCATACAGGGATACTTTTTTGTAATGAATAAATATATTAGTGAAAAAAAAAATAAAATAAAATAAAAAATATAATAAATTAATAATAATTCTAGCCATACAACGAAAATTATACAGGGAAATAAGTAGAGTAAATGTATGAATGAGTCATTAAATGTACTCAGAGTATAACAAAATAAGAGCATAACTAAATAAGATATATATTTTATTTAACTAGAAACTTGAAGCTTATCGAAACACTCCGTTTTTATTTGGGTAATTGATTTATGAGCTAATAACTTGATAATGCTTGAATATGATTTTGTTATCCGATAACAATCAATATCAATATCAATATATCAATCAATATTTGTGACCTCGACGTTGCATTCCTCATTTATTTACACCAAAATAAATTAACCAAAATCCATTAAATATTTGTTATATTTTAAACATGATTTACAATACTCTTGAAAATTTATTAAGTCTTCAAAAAATATTATTTTTAAAAAATGTATCTTAGATACAATGCTGGCCATTGCGCCAAAATGGAGTATGGGGGAAATGAGGCAGCAAACTTCTTGCTTTCAGCATCGCCTTCATTTTGAATGGAGTGTGCAGCGACCCCCAATTGGAATATGGGTACATTGAAACTGCCGTTTTGTTTCTGAAATATTGAAAATTAGAATTTTCAGTTCTATTCACTGGCATTATATCTTACCGAGAATTCCAAGTAGAAAAACAAAGGAGATCTATCGACGCCCATCGCAATATAGATAATATATGGCAAGTCCCTGGTTGGCTCTATATCACTACTGCTCCCAAACGCCCAGTCAAATAAGGTCACATCCTCTTCGGGTTGGATAAACAAATTCATGAACGTCGGCCCCTCCAATTTGAACTCAAAGCGGATAGTTGTTGCGTTTACAATTGTTCTGTTTTCCAAAGTCAATGTGGTTAGCTCTGGTGGTACAACTGGCTCCTGTCGAGGCAACCATTTGCTTTGGAACCGATTTGCCACGTAACGATGCTCATATAATGGCATGCCACAGAGCATGTGCTTCTCGCAGCTCTCTTTCAGGCTGACCAATCCGGTTAGATTCACTTTTGTGTTGAATGGTGTTTCCTCACGCCTATCCTGAAAACTAAACAGATATCCAGACTCGTCCTTGCTGAGAGTACCGTCATAATCGTAAAAGATGTTTCGCACTTGCTGGAATACAGTAGATTTGAGAGACAGAATATCCAGAAAGCCTTAAGAATACTCACCAGATAGGAAACCCGTTGTCCATTGGTCTTGGGTCGGTACGGGAATCCGAGCGGTGTGCTGCTCGCCAAGAACATGGAGAGAGCAGTAACTCCGATTAAAGCGAGTATGACAAAACTGGGTCTTCGGAAGGTATTGATAAGTGGGACCTATAAATAAGAGGCGTCAGAGTGAACATTTAATAGATCTATTTAGTACTCATACCAAGAAACCAAACGAGAGAACAGTTCCAACGGCTGCGAGCACAGCAATGTACAAGTCCCGATTCGAGGCACTGCCAGCACGCGCACCCATTGGGGTCAGCACCACCACGAAGGTATAGACCACGTAACTGCTGTATAAGAAGGTAATTATTTGGCTTATCTTGAGAAGGCTTGCCCAGGCATAGCTCCGATCGTGCAGAGTAGTCAATAAGTTCAATGCCAACGGTATCACGTAAAAGATCAGCGGAATTACGACAATATACGTTGAGCGTATGCCAATGACGGTAAGACCTATAGCTAATAGAGTTAGTATGATTGCTTGAGCGTGCAGTGCCAATTGTACATGGTAGCCATTTGATATTTTATCCTGAAGAGATGGAAAATGTATTACAAACTGTCTAAGATTAACTGAATAACGGAACTCACATTGCGCTGTACCGCAAAATATATTGTTAGCGGTAAACTGAGGCCAATCAGCGAGGGACAGACGTACAGACCAATCACCAGCAATGGAGTGCTGTAATATGCCAGTGAGAGTCCCCAATTGTCAAATAGTTGTGCAACTATCAAAGGAAGTACCACACCGAGTACAAAGCATATAACCTGAACGACCAGGACCAATGTAAGCCAGCATGCGACCTGAGAAAATGAGACGTTGCTAACGGCTGTCATGCGCCACATTGAAATGAAAATGAATATCAATGAAGCAGCAGCAATGCCAAGGTTCAATATTGTGCCCGTAGTTTCTGAATAATTAATTAAGTATAGTCCTAGGAAGTCGAAGTAGACAGTGTGACCAGCCTCATGTGCCTAAAGGAAATAATAATTATTGATAATACAACTTTGTCCCATTCTTATCAAAATAAACAGTTACCTTAGTGTCATATAATTCGGGTGCATTGGCCAATGCTCTAACCAGACTGAGCACATTATCGCCCGTGTTCTGAAAGGATTCCCGTGGAATCACATCGATAAGGTCGTATTTGGTATGGTAGACAAATCCATTGAAACATTGACCCATATCCAAGCCTATTGAGTAGTAGTTAATGCTGCATAATTTCGCTGTGATCGTAAGCTCAAATTGGCTTACCTGGAATATTGCCATACGTGCGAAACTGTCGAAAGTCTGTGTCGGACGGAATAATGCCAGCTTGGAAAATTTCCTCTGCAACCGTAGTACCAAAGGGATGTTTCACATATTTTTTGTAGTACTGAAAATAAATGTTTAAACTAAGAACAGCAAATGGTATTGAAATCCTTTACCTCCACAAGCCACGGATGGTTTGGTCCAGTTTGAAAGAGAATTTCCCGACCTCCGCTTCCCGCAGCATCAAGATTGACTACAGCTCTAGGGAATATACAATATTTATATTCCGATTTTTATAAATCTCTTGCTAAATTATTGATCTCACTTGCAGTTTGGGGCCCATTTGTGTTGAGTTACAAAACCATGTGAGGCTAGCAAACCAATTTCTTCAGCACCATTAAATAGAAAGACAATGGGATGCTCCAAGTGTTGCTTTGTTGTGGCTATAACACGCAGCACCTCCAACATAACAGTTATCATAAAGCCCGCATCACCCGCAGACCACGTAGCTGGCTTGGAGTCGAAGTGGCTGTTGACGAGCAGATATGACTGGCTCGAGCTCTGCTTTGGCGTTAGCTTAACAGCAATATTCTGAACATCTAGGTAAACATTTAGCGTAGTCCCAGAACCGAAAACTCCAGAAGCTTGCGATAAGTCGATTTCCATATCGAAGTAATCGCTTTGCAAATTGTCCTTGATTTCTGCCAGTTTGCCTAGAATAAAATTGACTGCATCGACCTCATTTTGCTTGCTGCCAGTCAACTTGTTGCCAATATTGGAGAGCGTATACAGATCCTTGTAGGCCCGCTCAGCAATGAACTCATTCTCCTGTGCGTCCTCCAGCGTGAGCGCCGTGGGCAAGCGATAGAAAAATGGAATCACAACAGCAAAGAAGAGAAGCACCCAGAAGAGTATAAAGCCAGTAGCAAAGTAGCAGGGCAACTTGGAATCAGTCTTATTCTTGCCAACATATCGAGATGCTTCGATAGATTCAACTGAGATCTGCGCAGGATAATTCCGAAATTCAGTGACTTTAAATTGATTTTAGTTATTTGTGGATCTTACAAGACTCTCCTTGTCAGCCATGTCGGAATATGACTACTTGTCTGCTGAACTAAAATCAAACTGCTTAGCAAAAGGTAATGTAGATCGTTTTTATACTAGCCCACTGAAAATCACAATACAGGGTATAATGTTTTTCTCGATATTGTATGCTCCAGGCAGAAAGAGGTCTCGTATAAGGTATATATATTCTTGATCAGCAAAGCTTGAACACTAAAATTAAAGACTAAATTTTAAATATGTACTTTTATATATTTCTACATATTATACTCTTAGGGTATCTCAAGGCAGGCACTCCCAGCAAGAATTATATAATTCAAAAGCTGCGAAAATCATGAGCAAGGGATTGTAAAACCATGTGCTTAACGCCATATAACTGAAGTATATCGATTGATATCTGGTCAATTAAGTCATATATTGAAACTGCTTTATTTTCAAAATGTTCAAGATAAGGAGTGCAATGTAGATATAGGAAAAGTAAAGATATGAAGTTTTTTGAAACAGAGTTAAGGATATAATCATTGTAATGCAAATGTATATGAAAAGTATATATGTATATTCTTAATCGCGTTAAGGAACTGTATCCTGTTCATCAGATTATTAACCTTTGCATACACCTAACTTGGGTTCTCGCATATTATTTTATTTGTATTTAGTTTATTTCCTTTACAATTTGGCATTTATATAACTCTTGTATATCGCAATTTTTCATGATAAAGCATTTAACAGTCAATGTGATTATTTGCTCTGATGTGCCTATATTATATACGAACAATACCTGAAACCTCAACTAGAAACTTGAAGCTTATCGAAGCACTCCATTTTTATTTGGGTAATAGATTTATGAGTTAATAGCTTGTTCATGTGCATGGAATGATTTTATTATGCGATAGCAATCAATATCGAAAATATGTAGTGTCATAGAAGCGGGAAAACGGGTGCGTCGCGTGCTCCTTATACATATCATTAGCAGCAGAGTGATAAAATCTGAATTTGTTAAAGCACCAAATGTTGGTGAAGAACTGCCGAACTATTCATAAGCTTAGTATTCTGTGACTGCCCACTCGGAGAGAAAGGCTGCAATAGAGCTTTGTATAAACGGGCGCTGCAAGTGTGGAAAATCTACATTATAAGAGGAGTGAATAATTTATACAAGTGAACCGCGTTAAATTATAAATATATGTCTTATAAATCTAGCTTGCGGGCAAATTAAATTTCGTTCCTTAAAACGTTTCAGGATAATAAATAGTATTATACCTTTTGCTCCGTTCACAAATCGGCGTAATTCGACTATCGAGCTCTAATTAAAATCGATTAAAATCTTCTATGCGTAAATTAATAGAGTAGTGTACTCAAAAACTTGACCTTTTTTACGATCTAGAAAAATAATTTACTTGGGTTTGATATCCACTAAACCATTGCAATGGCCCATTCTATAATGGATCGAGTGATACAAAGAAAACAGGCCGAATTGAACAACATATTGAAAGGAAGTGAAAGATATCTACACAGAACGTATATGGTATATAATATGATCATGACATTACAAAAATTACGGAATACACATAGTTGAATTGGTTTCCAAGAAACCTTTTATAGCTGAAACTAGGTAAGTCTACAATAGAAAAGTACTATAAAACAAATATAAAAAAATTTCCCACAATATTTATATATCTTCTTTATAGTAAGTATCATCGATATCATTTTCTCTCTTTATCTATCTGTTATGAAAAAGTGTATTAATTATTTTATAATTTCTCAAAGATCAAGTCTTTTTAGTAATAATTTATTGTCTAAAAGTAAAGCTATTATTACATATTAATTCGTGTTAAAAATAATATAATCTAAGGTCAACATTATTTTGTATTTATTTTAAAATATATATCTCTGGTACAAGGCTGGCCACGTCGCCACAATTGAATAGGATGGGAATGAAGATGCGAACTCTTGACTTATGGCATCTCCTGCAACGCCTATGAAATGTCCCGACACTCCCACTTGAAGAAGGGGCATCTTGAAGTTTCCATTTTGTTTCTATAAAAAAGAATATTTTATGGAATCCGCCTAAAATTATTTCCAAATAACTTACCGTTAAATCGACGAAAAACTTCAAAGGTGAATTACCAATACCGTAATTAATGTAGATGTGATAGGACAAAGGAAAGGGTGGCGGATTCTGAAGATAGTCTTCTGTAAATGTCCAATTGGTGATCGTGACATCTTCGTAGGGTTCGAAAAATAAACTCATCTGAGCAGGACCCGATAAAGAGAACTCGAATCGCACAGTGTTTGGTTTCAGATAAGTTTTGTTTAGCATTTTCAATACGGTCGATCCCGGAGGCTCAATGGGCTCTGCCCGTGGCAACCATTTGCTCTGCAGCCGATTCCCAACGTATCGGAAATCGTACAGTGGCATGCCACACATCATGTGCTTCTCACATCTCGATTTGATGCTAGTCAATCCCGTCAAGTTGACATTCGTGCCCAAAAGTGGTCGTTCTTCTAGTCTGTCCTGGAAACTAAACAAATAGCCAGACTCATCCTTACTAAGAGTGCCATCGAATTCGTAAAACATGTTTCGAACTTGCTGGAATTCAATAGTTTTATAGACATTACGAATTTATGAATGCAATTAGATTGATGGAAAGCTTACCAGAAAGGCTACTCTTTGTCCGTTAGTCCTTGGTCGATAGGGGAATCCTAGCTGAGTGCTACTGGCCAAGTACAAGGAGACGGAAGTGATTGCGATCAGAAAGAATATAACTAAACTGGGCCGTCGCAATGTATTGATCAGTGGCATCTGAGTAAATAAGACTATTAGTATTTGACTGAAATAAGGTGAATGGTAAAGCAAACTTACCAAGAAACCAAATGACAGAATTGTTCCAATCGCAGAGAGAACTGCAATAAATAAGTCCTGATTAGATGCACTGCCAGAGCGTCCAGTCATCGGCACGAGCACGACAATGAATAGATAGAAGATGTAGCTGCTGCAGAGGAAGGGAATGATCTGGCTGATCTTCAGCAGACCAGTCCAGGCATAGCCCCGATCGTGCAGAGTGATCAACAAGTTCAATACCAGAGATATGACATAGAAAAGAAGGGGTATCATTAACACATATGTGGAACGCAAGCCGAATGACGTGAGGAAAATTATGAGAACGGCCAATATGACCGCCTGGGCATGCAGTGCCAGCTGCAGATGAAAACCTCTTGAAATCTTTTCCTGCAAATGAAAAATTCTTCAATGAATGTTTGAGAAGCAGCTAAACACATGAAATACTCACGTTGCACTGGATACTGTAATAGACAGTAATGGGCAAACTGAGGCCAATCAGCGAGGGGCAGACATACAGACCGATCATCAGCATGGGCGTGCTGAAGAAAGTCAGCGACAGTCCCGCATTATCCATTACAATCGACACCACTATGGGAAGTACCAGTCCAAGTACGAAACAAATTAACTGGATGGTGAGCACCAATATAAACCAGCGCAGCATGTGGCATATCGAGACGTTGGATATAACTGCCATGCGCCACATTGATATGAAAACAAAGAGGAGCGCAGCTCCGGCGACGCCAAAGTTAAGAGCTGTTCCCGTCGCCTCTGAGTAATATATAAAAATGATACCCAGGAAGTCAAAGTAGATACCGCTCCCAGTTTTGTGTGCCTATCAATGTTTGTATAAGGAATTAGCACAATAAAATTTTCAATTAGATGAGCTTACCTCAATGTTCTCTAATTCGACTGCATCTGCTAATCCTCGAACTATGCCGAGCACATTATCGCCGGTATTCTGTAAGGACTCTCGAGGAATAACGTCGATCACATCATACTTGGTATGGTAGACAAAGCCATTAATGGCTTGACCTAAGTCCAAGCCTATAAGCACAAAGAGATGCAGTCATGTAAGTTGAATTCTCATTTCGAAGATTATTCTTAACGTACCTGGAATATGATCTTTAAAGATAGTGAAGTCCGTATCAGAGGGCAGGGCACCAGTCTGATAGATTTCCTCGTTCAATGTTGTGCCAAATGGATGATTGGCATATTTATTATAGTACTGTTAATGAATGACTAAATTAGATAAGAAAAGATTAGATTAGCTGTAAACTTACGCCCAAAAGCCAGTTGTGATCAGGTCCAGACTGAACCAGAAGCTCTCTGCTACCGCTTCCTGCCGCATCGAGATTGACAACGGCTCTGCGAAAATATTGATTATGTAATAATGAGTGAACATATAAAGAAATTCTATTAAATATTGCTCACTTGATGTTCGGTACCCATTTGTGTTGGTTGATGAAGCCATGGGAGGCCAGCATGGAGCTCTCTTCAGCCCCATTGAACAAGAAGACGATCGGGTGTTGAAAGCTTTGCTCTGTGGTGGCCAGAGTTCGTAGCACTTCCAGCATTGTGACTATCATGAAGCCGGCATCCCCCGCAGACGGAGTTTCTGGCTTCGAGTCGAAGTGGCTGTTGACGAGCAGATATGACTGGCTCTTGCTGGCCTTCGGAGTAATTTTGACGGCAATATTTTGAACGTGGAGGTACAAGCTATTTACATTCTCATATACAAACTGGCCGGACACCTCTGATAAGTCAATTTCAATATCAAAGTAATCCTTAAGCGAGTCTTCCTTAATTTGGTTGAGCTCCTTCAGGAGGTACTGCACAGCATCAATCTCATTTTGCTTAGAGCCAACCATTTTGGTTCCAATATTCGACAGATAATAGAGATTTTTATAAGCACGTTCCGCAATGAACTCATGGCTTTTCACGTCCTCTATCGTCAGCGCAGTGGGCAAGCGATATAAATATGGTATAACCACGGCGAAAAAGAGTAGACCCCAAAACAGTAGAAATCCACCTGCGTAATACCAAGGTAACTTTCCGCTGTCGTCATTTTTAGTTCCGCACCGAGGCTTTTCCTCGAATCTGTTGCCAGATTCGCTGCAAATCTAACAGAGATTTGTGAAATAATTATGACAGTTGCAATTTAACTCAATTGTCCAATGGTATTTACGAGCTTCTCCTTGTCACACATCCTTATTGCTCAATAAGTGAGTCCAATGGCGCCCAATTTGGAACTACTTCTCAATTCGAGTGTTTGCTTATTTTATAGCAATCAAGTCACACATAACATGAAAGACTAGCAGAATTCAACAATCATAAAATCATATAATTTGATTGTCCGATAAAAAAAAAAAAAATTATGCGAGGGTAGTCACATAGCAAAGTTCATTGGATATTAGCAGCAATTATTATTGTTGACTATAAGTATATCGTTCATATCGCACGCATTTATCTAAGATAAAACTTAGACTTTAGCCTTTGTCTTTTTACTACTTTGCGTTTATCATTCTCAATAATATTTATCAGAAATGCACCTTGCGGAAATATTGTCTATATATACACAAAACACAAACTTGACCTACATTAATTATACTAACAAATTAAATATATTATTTCCACAACTCTTGTAACAGCCCTCCTGTTGTCAACAGTCCATTTTATTGACTTAGAGGAAGCTCTCACATTTTCTTTTGCGGCACTTACCTCAAATTTACTAAACAGTCTACGATATAAATTAGCGATATCAGCACTGAATCAGCATTATACTATTCGCGATATCTCTATTTTAAAAATGTACCTTGTTTATAAAGCAGTTTTATTGGAAGTCTGCGGAAAGTGCTTTACCTGCTTAGATGAAAGCCTATATAAAAATACATTATCGATAATTTACAATAGATTTATGAGTTTATTATAAAAAACACGCTTCATTTAATAACGTATTGAACAGTTAACGTATTTTTTATCTAATTATAATTAGAGCTCGACGTCATTCATATGTCAGAAAACAATATTGTCGAAGAGATTTTTGCAATACCTGTTCAGAGTAGTTTATAGTCTTATTTGCCATTTGATCGATGATTAATATATATTATATGACTATAATAAAGTATAATATAACATAAATAATAATAATAAGCAAACATAGTAATAAAATTTTAAAGAGGAATGCCCCAAACTACCGACGAGCTACAATGTGATAACGAGCATACGAAAAGTTATAGAACTATGATTATTACTTGTATGGCACATTAAGTCTCCTTAATAAACGAATTTCCTAGATTGTACATATAGAAAACACAAAACATATTTAATATTAAATAAATATATCAAAAACAAATAAAGGAATTAAATTGACTCATTAATATTTAATAACATTAACATTATATTAATGACCATTTAGATAATTAACATAAGATAATTAATCATCACAAGATAATGAAGTCAAAATACTAAATTTATAACAATTATAACGACTAAGACAATTGCCCTAAATAATATTAACAACTATTACAATTCCACTTAGCATACTTAACATATTCTTAACTATTTAAGTACTTACAACACACCGCAGAAGAAAAGCACCACCAGTAGATCAGGAAAACGACTGAGGCTGCGCTGAGACAGGCTCCATTTATATAGGGCTAGACTTCCGACCAAAATTGATCGGGGGTTTGATCTTCACTCGTTCATTGCTTCACCCGAACATTGAGCGACAAGTGTGAGAGAAATAATGTTCGATTGAGCAATCAAAGTTCGATGTTCGATTAGACACACATCGAAGAGAGAAACAGACAGATCATTGGACTACGATGCAGACAGAGAGAGAGAGAGAGAGATAAGGCTCATTAGACATGTTAGATGTTCGATCACATCGTGAAATCTGATGTCCCTCAAATATACAAACACAGCCAAACAGAAAAGCGAACAGACTGTTACTGCATTTTATACATTCTTGCTGAATTCCATAATAAATCAAAACACAAGTCAAATTGATTTTTTTTTTGGTTTTTTGTTTTTGTTTTTATTAAACTACTTAAGAGTTAATAATTATTGCCTGCTTTTTATGCTATAATATATTTAATAAAGTAAGAATGTAATAACATGTTACGAGATATACATACACACATATTTATCAGATTCTATCAATGTACATATAAATTAATTTGGAAATTCTTTCGACAATAGCTCAACAGCTTAGAGACTACAATTAGTAAACGAATATCAATATCTATTAACGGTATACTCTGTAAATGGGGCAATTAGAAGTACCAGCTTTCGTAGGTGCCGACCCAAGCCTGTATGTAGGCGTAAGAGGGAAAGCTGTCGATATAGGCACCCAGGCCTTTAGATCTTTGCATGTCGTAATGTACCCAATGCCCACCGATGCCAATTTCCAAAGTGGGCGTGTCGAACGAGGACGTCGTCTTCTGCAATTTCAATGAAAGCTCAATTAACTTGTAAAGCAATCCAAGCAAGCCCAACAAACCTCAACGTCTATGGAGAACTCTAGTGCACTTTTATCCAGACCATAAGAGAAGTAAACAAAATACGGCGGAGGCTCATTGTTCTTAATGAGCGTCTCATTGAAGGACCAGTCCAGCAGTTTCGCATCGTTCTTTACGTTCACAAAGATGGTCATATGATCCGGGCCAGCCAATGAGAAGTTAAACCGCCTCTGCATCGAGTTATCCAGCTCTGTGGTTTCCTGTAGCGTCAGAGTGGGATAAGCCGCCGGTATCTCCGGCTGCTCCTTAATGGGTATCCAAAAACTGTATTCGCGTGCCTTGTGCCAGCGATGATTATACAATGGCATGCCGCAGAACATTTCCTCATCGCAGAACTCGCTGACCTTGTGCAGTTGGCCAATCGTCTTGATCTCCTCTTCGGCTATGCTGAAACGTCGATCTTGGGGATAGACGTAGATGCCGCTCTCATCCGTGCGCGTGGTGCCATCCGCATTGTGCAGGATGCGATGAGCGTGCTGCAGTTAGGAAATTAATTAGAATATCCCCTCAAGTAATATTCCTTTCTGTCTCAACTCACAATCAATGCGTAGCGCTGCGGCGATGTCTTGGGCTTGTATGGAAAACCTGCGTCAGTGACTGCAATGATGATGAACAGAATCGTGCCTGCCAAGAAACACAGCACAATTGTTCTCGTCTTGCGGAAGAACAAAATGAGCGGCACCTGTGTTTATTACAAGTTAGATATAAGTCATAAGGTCAAGCTAAGTGGTAAATACTAACCAGAAAGCCAGCAAACATGACGGAAAACAGCCATAGCAGAAGTGCCATGGACAAATCGGGATTGGCAGATCCGCCGGAACGGCCCTGCATTGGTATCAGTGTCTTCAGCGCTGCTGTGCAGACGTAAGTAATGTATGTGAAGGGTAAGATCTGGCAGATCATGACGACAATTGCAAACCAATAAGCTGCATATAGAAAATAGTAAATAACAGTAAATACTTGGGCAATGGTTGAGTTCTAAATACCTTTGCGATGCCATTTGGTAACCAGGTTCACAATTAGAGCCACAATATCAAAGAGCACGCAGAGCATAATAAAATAGGCCGATCGTATGCCGAGGGCTGTCAGGACAATTATCAGCAGCACTAAGCAAATGCAGTGGGAGTGCATGAAGAGCTGCACACGAAAGCCCAGGCTGAGCGGATCCTTTTTGGTTCGCTCCAGATAGAGGGCGGGCAGAATGCTCATGCCAAAGATAATCGGAAATATATAGAGGCCGAGCAGTAGCCACATCTCTGTGAACCAGCTGAGTGAGCGATTCACTCCGTCCATGAAGAGAGCGACGAGTAGAGCTAGCCCGAGGGCCAGACCCAGAGAGACCAGCTGTATGCCCAGAATAATACCAAAGCGCACCAGGACGCCCGAAATACTGCAGCCAGAGCGCACGGACATGAAGTACAGAGAAACTCCAATTGCCAGGAGCGCAATCACACTGACAATCATGTTGATAACAATGTTTGTGGTTGCTGTGTAGAAAATCATAAACCAGCCCAGAAAATCATAGAACACATTGTGGCCCTCGGCGTGAGCCTGAAAGTATGATAAATAGAAATGGAAGAACAGAAAGAGGGAGATTCTTCAGAGCCTACTCACTGCAGTGTCATCCAATTCGGGAGCATTTGCCAGAGCCCTGGCCAGAGCCAGCACATTATCGCCAGTGTGCTGAAAAGAGGCGCGCGGAAAGACATTAACTCGATCAAATTTGGTGTGATACACGTAGCCATTGAAGATGTACGCCATGTCCAGGCCAGGCACTCCGCCATAGTCGCGAAAAATGCGAAAGTCTGTGTCGGACGGTATCAGACCAGCCTGGAACATCTCCTCGCCCAGGGTGTTCGCAAAGGGATGCGGCACCTCGCGATAGTATTTCATGAGCCAGGGATGATTGGGCCCCGACTGAAACAGAATCTCGCGACCGCCGCTGCCTGCCGAGTCCAGATTGATCAAAGCTCTGCAAGAGTTATTAACTATAATCGATATTCTAATTAACGCTCAATCAACGTTCACCCACTTGCAGTTCTTGGCCCATTTGTGCTGCGTGATGAAAGCGTGTGAGGCCTGCAGTGGATTCTCCTCGGCTCCATTGAACAGGAAGACAATGGAGTGGGCCAGCGGCTCATCAGTCTTGGCAATGACGCGCATCACTTCGAGCATGGTCACAACCATGGAGCCATCATCGCCAGCACCCGGACTGCCGGGCACTGAGTCGTAGTGGCTATTGATCAGCAGATAGTTCTCGTTCGGGTTGCCCTTCTCGCTCAGCTTGACGACCACGTTCTGAATACCCTGGTACATGTTAACCATAGTCCAGTGCATGTAGGCCCCGCTTGCCTGCTGGACATCGATCTCGATCTCGAAGCGCTCGTTCGCCTCCGCTTGGACCTTCTCGATCTCATCCCTAAGGAACTGCACGGTGGTCACCTCGTTGGCCACACTGCCCACCACCCGTGGCCCGATCCGCGTCAGCTCGATGAGGGTGTCCTCGGCGCGCTGTGCAATGAAATCCCGCGGATGGGCTGCCTCATCGGCGCGCGTCAGCGGCGTGGGCATGTGATTGATCTGCGTGCTGATCAGCGACAGATAGATGGCAAACCAGAAGGCGAGGAAGGCGGGTGCATAATACCATTGCAGCTTCTTGGGCACTTCAAAGTCTACATCAATGTGGTACTTGGAGTTGAACTACAGGAAAGTGAAAGAAACTTAGTTGTTTGACCGATTATCATTAAGCTCAAAGTGCTTTAAATACTATTTATAGCATGTGGACAGCCGGGCAATATCTAATCGCAGAGCAAGTGCTGTAAACGCGACTCGTGCTATAAACGAATGCCAAGGCTAATTGAATCGTTGGTGGAGGTATATTTACATGATACGATTATCATTCGGGTGGGTTGCATTCCTTTCGAAATGGCTATGGCAACAAGACAATATGTCGGCCCCCTGGGAACTCAATTGAACTCTTATTGCTTTATGGGCTTCTGATAGGGGATTTTGTTTTGCAAGTCTAAGCTTTTCGCAAGTTGGATTTCAGCTGAAGCGAGTGAAATAAAGAAATGCCTGACATTGAAATCCGAAGCGATCCATGATTCATGTAGGCGTGTGGATAATGTACGATTATTCTTGAATTACTGCAATAAATTGATTAGCTCTCGAAAATCGCCAAACACTGGCAACAGAGAGTCCAACAACAATTTGCAAATCGGGCGGCTTCTTTGATATTTTGGCTATAGCAAAAGTAATTGAACTTATCTGGCAAACAAAACGATTAGCCGCATTCGTTGTTGGTAGCCCAGTAGACTACAAATTGACCACGGCGATAAGTTATGATCCAGCACACGCCAGAAACGTGCCTAGCACTTGAGTTGACCAATTTGGAATTGATCGTTCCGCCTGCCTTAGATTACAATTATGCAGCAGTCGCAACACAAAACTTAGTAACTCTATTAAGTTAAAAATAATACTAAACGGAATTCAATTTGAATTTATGTAAAGTTATAAAATATTGAATTTAATCATTTTTTACAAAATTATTTATAGAGATCTTTGACTTTCATATATGAAATAATTAACATGAAACCTAGTCTGTAGTTTTTCTAAAGAAAATATTACAGTAACTGTATTACTCTTAAAAAATTTTTTTTAATAATAATAATAATAAAGTTATATGATGTTTTGTTTTGCCTCATATATGTATACATGTTTGCTTTATACTCGTATTTAAATAAATAATTAACTCCGACAGTTGACACCATTGTTATTTAATTGTAAATTTGCCATGGCAGCTGTCAAGAATCAATTCTGCCTCGTGAAATGTGAGGCATTTCACGGAAAGTTAACCCTTTTTATGCACAGTTATATTGTATAGTCATGTATTTTATTATATAACATATACCCAAATTAGTCAATAGTGGACTAGGGATTTATTTTTATTTATGGGACTTTTTATATACATTTTTTATCCTATACACATCCATCAGGAAAGTAAAGTTTACATTTAAGTGAACATTTTTGTGGGAAGAAAAGCCAAAAAACACCTGCAGTTATCCATGAAAAAATAAATAAATAAAATAAAAATTCCCATTGGGTTAAATATCAAATTAAAATCAACTTTGAATAAGATTTGCCAAATACTTTAGCAACTGAAATAATATTCCGTCTGAAAATTCGTAATTAGATTCAATAAGCAATTAATTTTGAGTCGAAGAATTTTTATGATATTTATAATAATATGAATAATATATAATCATAATTTTCTCTTAAATCAATTGTTTTAAAACTTAACAAGAAATCACTAAATGCACACTTAATTTGATAAAAAACTTAGTTTTTTTGCAAGGGTAAATTTAATTTAATGTCACTGTGATATAATCGTTCTCAATATACGTATACGTACACCCATTTTTAATGACTTGAACTTGAACACGGTAAAATTTAGAGATTTTCGATTCCGATCACTGGTATTTATCCTTTGAGTACGTTAACACTGCACAGCTTTGACGCTGCTTGACTCCACGGCGGATCGTTGGGATTGTTCGCGTCTTATGGCCGTCACTGGATGAAGCAAACGCACAAATGAAACGAACGCGAGTCGCACGCAGTTCTTAAAATATGTATGAGCACAAAGGTGTTCACGGGAGCACCTGGAAGTGGCCAACGTCAACTTATCGTTGGGAATGCAATATCTAACGGTGACACGATAAACACGCGCAATTATTGTTGCCTCGAACGAACAGCCAATTCGGCTTGATTTTCGTCTTATTGGATGTTATTATCGCATTTGCTGCTGCTGCTGTTGTTGTTGTTGTTGTTACGGTAGTGTAGAGGCACCTGTGTAGTAGTCACAGTCCATAATGTGATACGATTAGTTATTGTTTTCTTTAAGTATCGTTTTTTTTCCTTTGCGTTTCTTAACGGGTTTTATCTTTATGGCAAAGAAATATGATATTCGGTTGGGGTGCGAAAATACTATTTCACGGTATTGCTGGCGGCGTGGCACCTTAGAAGTGTTTGCACTGTACCCAGTTTATCTATCTAATAACCGAATGGCATCGTCACAGTGTCATAGTCAATAAATACTTTTCACTGGCTCTGCTCCATGGCCCAAGTAAGCGTCATTGCGATGCCTCACCCACTCGTCGACTAACTGACTAACTAGCATCGATAAGTATCCAGAGCCAGAGCCAGAGCCAGAGCCCGAGCCCAGATACATCAACAGACATAGAGATAGTCAATAGGCGGTTGTGCCTGGCTGCCTATGGCACTTGTCTCTGGGCTCTGATGTTGTAATGCATGTTCCTCTATAGACTTGACTAATTAATTTCTGCGCCGTTCGCTGTTCGCTGTTCGCTGATGCCATTTGAGTTTATGTGTCATTGCATTCTTTTGTTTTCCCTCCGATTCGCGTATTGGCGAATTCTCTCGCGTTGGGCACGGATTTTGGATTTTGGAACTGGGCGGCGCAGCGAATTACTTTGATTTCGCTTGATTAACAAATTGTTTTCATTATACGAATCGTTTTGTTAGCTAGCCAACCCATATATGTATATTTATATGTGTAGTTGTATGTGAGTCCACTGAGTTATGCTTGACTGCATCCAATGCTGGGAAATTGACTCGTCCGATCGTCTGAAATTATGTCAAATACTATTTTCGCGCTCGATTGCGCGACGACGGCGACAAGTGACAGCGGCAGTCTTTTATTTATAGAATATTCAAATAAGTCAAAACCTTTTAGAAACTGTCAAAGTACCTCTAGGTAGCTAAACAAAAACCTTTTTTAAAATAAATTAAATTGGGAAAGTTTTCTGCTATATAAGTATATGCAATCTTTAATTATAGAATGAATGATATAGTATTTGACGCATAAGTAGATATTACAGCTTCAGAATGTCAATATGAATATAGTTAAAACATAGATAACTAGTTAAGAAGCAAGATTTTGTCGAGATAAGTAAAGAACAAATTATGCACAATCAAGCATAAATGAAAGCTGTGTAAATATTTTCACAAATTTTTGTTGAATTAGAACATATGTAGAAAAAGAAAAAAAAGAAATTGAAGATATTCCCTGCTTACTCATATTTTTTAATTTCCGAAAACATCACGAATCGCATTGCAAAAATTCACTTGTTAGCGAGTTCTCATCTTACGTTGCTCAAGGTCGCTAACATAAGATTGCCATAATCTGAATTATTGCCGATTGGCACAATACCATGCTCAAATATATATACACATACGTTCACACAGCCCACATATACATGCATATATATTTTTATGGTGCACAATGATTACGATTTTGTGCGATTCCAGTAAATACATATATGAGAATTAATTTCAAAATTCTACTCTAATGACGCACCAAGTAATACCGCATTATAAATTTAAATGGCAACAGAGATTTTTTTGTAATTTAAATATTTATTAATCAATTGCTTTAAGCGTGTAGCTTGTGCGCATACTTATGAATGTGACTGTGCGGCTATCGCATGAAAAATCTGTGCTCTTACTTGTCCGAGTTCTTTAAAGCATGGAAATCAAATATAGCCTGTTGGATTGACTGCTAATCGAAATGCTTTTAGCTGAACTTATCGCCAGGTAATTATCAATTATAACCCTAATTATAGCTAATTATTTATGAAGTCACAGTCTTATCGCTCTGCCAATTGCTGCTAATATCTGTGCACACTCGTTACGTGTCGATATGGATTTAGACGTCCCTTCGTACACAATGATAAACTATACAATTTGTACCTTTGAGCTCGGTAAGCGAGGTGCGAAAGACGCCTTTCTAGAGGAAAGTCTAATATAATGAGAAAATAAATGTGGGAAATGAAAATAAATTAAATGAGTTTGTATATAGAGTGCAAAGATTATATATGTATAGATCTTGTAGATCATGTCTTTAAAATGATACGTATATAACATATTTATACAATTTATCAAATTATTTTCACATTATATAGACTTGACTGCTATTGAGATATTTTGCAATGTTACTGAAATGTCCCTCGCATGGATTAAGTCGATAATGAGTCTAATTCAGCGAGCTTATCATAAGTCCACGAGCAGCTCTTGAGATTCAGGCACTGCAAATCCATAAATTCGGAAATTATGTATATAAAATTGTGGCTGCTCGTGTGGAAACTATTTAGTACCCGAATACGCGATGCGCTGGGCGCAGGTTTGATTAGTGACTGGATGGGATTAGGATTTGAGCAGTTAGTTGATCCACAACTCGATTCAATATCATGTCGAACTGTTGCAACGACAACGACAGCCTCTACGACAACGACAGCCACAAGGGCAGCGTCAACACCGTCATCAAGTGAGTTCGATGAGCGCAACAAGTTCTCAGTTGCTCTTATATGTGTGGACTGTGCTGTGATCTGTTGCTCTTTGCCCACTCTGCTGCCTCTCTGGCGCTGCTGCCTCGCTCTCTCCTTCTGCGTCTCCTGCTGCGCTGCTCTGTGCCCGGCCAGACGTGCGGCGACCGTCGAAGGCGACAGTTGAGGTTGTGTTCCGTTGTGTTCTGTTTGTGAGTTCTGTGTGCTCCGTGTCAGCTGATGGCACATGTTGCTGCCGTTGACGTTGGCCGCCCTTCAGCATTTTATATAAGCAAACATATATAAAAAACGCAAAAGCTGAATAAAAACATTCGCGTCGATTTTCATCAAGTGTTAATCAGCATCAACAATTGAGAGTGTTAATAATTAATAAAACATAAGGAAAAGGATTGCATTTCGACAAGTTGAAATCCAACAATTGAGTGTGAATACGAACGCGAGTGTGAGTGCGAGCTCAAGTGTGTGAACGTGAACGTGAGTGTATTCAAACACATTTTGTTTGGCTTCTTGTGTTGCTTTCTTTCAACAACAATAAACAGAAACAACCGCAACTTCCTTTGCGTCTGCTGAGGCTGCTTGTTTTTGTGTGGCAAGTTGCATTCGTCGAGAGGCAGGTTATTGACTTCTTCTTATGCTGCGGCCCTTGCGGCACATGTCGCACATTTAGCTGGCAGCATGCAGCATGCAGCATGTAGAATGTAGCTGTAGCTGTATCTGTATCTGTATCTGTCAGTTACTATTGTATTSGATTGCCTCTTCCGCTGCGTTTCTCTATCTGCGAGAAAGCCCAAATAAATGTTGTTGCTGTTGCTCTTGTTGGTGTTGCTGCTGCTGCTGCTGCTGTGGCTGTTGTTGTCACAGTTGATTGCCGTCGCCTCGCCGATTGTTTGGATTTTCTTCCCATTTAGATAGTCTTTAAATAGATCTTTCTTTGGCCTCCCCCGCACGAGTCATTTGCATGCGAGCTCTGTTTTGTTTTTAATTCGATTCAGCTCCGTGGGCGTGACCACACAAAGATGCGTTGAAAACCTATGAACAATAACTACAACAACAACAACTAGAAACGGACACTCAAACTGAAACTGAAACTGAAACTGAAATCGAAATCGAAACTGATACTGAAATAATAACTGATTAATGCACTCGCTTGCTAAATTGATTAACCACACGTCCCATAGCACCAAGTGTGTGCTCCACTTACATAGGCATCCCGCTCCGTCTCGCTTGCAAATTTGTTTTTGCCTGTGCCGCGTCTCGGTCTGGCGGTCTCATTTAATCGGCGCTCCGCCGCTGGCCCCTGGGGGTCATGAGGCGCATTGCTATAAATGGGTCGCTGTCGCAGGGACCCCGATTGCATTCTGCCCGCACTTTAATCATCAGCCACAAGCACCAATTGCAATTGCCTCGCTGCTCTCTCACTCTGGCTCAATAATAAAAAAGCAAACAGCAACAAGAAATGGGAACATCCAACACTTTTCTGTTTATAGGCTAAACGAACTGCAACCATTTGGCAGAATTCTTTGTATACAAATTTTGTTTTGTTTTTCTTTTTCCTTTGCTTTTTATTTTTAATTTTTAATTTTTTTTTTTTAGGTATGCGTCACATGAATTTTAGTTGAGCACGGACTGCACTTCAGAGGCTCTCTAAGAGGGCGCCTTGTGGGCATGACTGAATAGGCATAGGTATAGTGATGGCTAGAGCTGAAAGCTTTTGTTAACTTGTCTGCGCTGAGCTTAGAGCTTTCTTCTAAGCGCCAAATTTAACTGGGACTCGCTTGAGTTGACTTTGCGCTCAGCTATTCATTTGGTAACTCTTGTACAGGGTATTTTTGGTTTGGACACGGATAAGTCAAGCAAATGGCATATAGCTGATCATTAAAGCTAAATATTATGCGCTCAATTCGCTATAAATAAAAACGAAAATCAAAATTTACAAAATGTCTCGGCTAATTTACGGTTGTTTCTCATCTACGTCTAGCATTAGTTCACAAACGAATATTTGCTCAACATTTATTGTTTTCATTTAGTTTTTTTCCCGTTTACGAGCAAGCCGTCAGCTGTCCACATGGAAAAAAAGATTGTTTTTGGGGCAACACATGTGTTCCGCTAGACTCAATCTGGTGCTTGTTGCAGAACCAAAAAAATCGATGACAAAATCTCTCAAAAGATTAGTTTTGCAACAAGCTAATGCGCAGTAGAAGACTGACTAGCGTCTGCTTAGCCTTATCATTAAATATCAGTCCAGCTAGCAGGAGGAAGCAGTTCAGATCCCAACTCTTGCTAATGATGTCTTGTTAAGATATAAGCTAAGAACTTCTCATTTGTTGCCAAGTACTTCTGATTGATTCGAGCAATTTATCAGCCATCTATCACTCGGCCACTTGAGACATCGATTACCATGTTTATATACATTAGCGGGTGCTCGAGTGGGTGGGCAGGGTATTATTTAATCAATGACTGCGATTAAGCGCAACTTCCTGATGGCAGCGATGGCACTGACTCTGGCGGGTGCAGTGTTTCAGCGGTCATCTCGGGTCAATCAATTAAGTCAATTGCAGAGCCAGTGGTGCGCTGCGGCCGTGTCATTTTGCACGCTCATGCGGTATTCATTATTCATTTCAGCCACAAGATGAACTCCAAATATGAGAACATGAAAATCATCTACAATCGCAGCAAAATCGGCTGGTATTGGGCCCCGCTCTTTGTGGCGTTCTGGTTCCTGCTCTACTACTTGGTGGTGGTGCCCAGTTTCCACAGCATGCCGCCGCTGAAGACCGTGCAGGATGAGCTGCAGCAGCCGGGCCAGTTTATTGGCGAGCGGGCGGAGGGCACTCTGCTCAGGCTGTCGAAGATTGGACCCAAGGTCGTGGGCAGCGCTGCCAACGAGCAGGTCGCCGTCCAGTTCCTGCTCAGCGAGATCAACGACATCATCGACGGTGGCCGCGACGACCTCTACGACATTGAGAAGGATGTGCAGATAGCGTCGGGCAACTACCTGCTTTGGTCAATGGTGAACGTCTACCAGAGCGTGCAGAATGTGGTGGTCAAGGTCTCGCCCAAGAATCCCACAACCGAGGCGGCTCTGCTGATCAACAGCCACTTCGACTCGGTGCCAGGCAGCTCGGGCGCCGGCGATGCTGGCATGATGTGCGTCATCATGCTGGAGGTGCTGCGCGTCATCACCAAGTACGAGACGCCGCTCACCAACACGCTCATCTTTCTGTTCAACGGCGCCGAGGAGAATCCGCTCCAGGGCTCGCACGCCTTCATTACGCAGCATCCGTGGGCCATGAATGTGCGGTAAGTGGAAAGCAAGCGAAAGTCTTAGGCAAACTTATTTCCAACTCTAATTTAACTTTCCTTAAAATGCTGACAGCGCTGTGGTCAATCTGGATTCAGCTGGCAGTGGCGGCCGGGAGATACTCTTTCAGTCTGGCCCCGATCATCCCTGGCTAATGAAGGTGAGTGACTATTGATTGCCTTTTCAGCACTCTCAATTAATCCCAATGAAATCAATTCCATTCAGTACTATGGCAAGCACATCTCTCATCCATTCGCCTCAACTATTGGCGAGGAGCTCTTCCAAAACGGTTTCATACCCTCGGAGACGGACTATCGCATATTCCGCGACTTTGGAAAGATTCCAGGTAGAGCAAAGAATTCGAATTTCCCAACTAAATCTAATGCGTTCTCTCGAAGGCCTCGACATGGCGCACACATTGAATGGCTATGTCTACCATACGAAGTACGATCGATTTAATATAATACCACGACGCACCTACCAGCTGACCGGAGACAATGTGTTGGGCCTGATCAAGGGCCTGGCCAATGCGCCAGAATTGGAAAATCCAGATGTAAGTCTTTAGACAGTTAATTTTATATGTATGTATATAATAATCTCCATCATTACCAGAAATATGCAGAGGGCCACATGATATTCTTCGACGTATTGGGCTGGTTCTTCATCTACTATCCAGAACATGTGGGCGTCATCATCAACATTTGCGTTTGTGTCCTGGTCCTGGCTACGATCGTCGTCTACATCTGGAGCATGGCCAGCAATACGGGCATGTTCAGGCGTCGCATCTTTGCCAAGTTTGGCATCTTGGCTGCGCTGCAGCTCTGTGGCGTTCTGCTGAGTGTGGGTCTGGTCATATGCATTGCCCTCTTCCTGGACGCCGTGGGCCTTTCGATGGCCTGGTACTCGCAGACCTGGATGATCTTCGGCTTGTACTTTTGCCCCATGTTCTTTGGCCTGGGCATACTGCCAGCCATTTACTTTAGTCGCACGAAGGAGGTGGGTTTCTCAGATCCTCAAGGGGTTGCATGCCGCCTTTATTCACTGTTTACTCCGCTTCCAGCACGGTCTTCCGCTCGGCTACGGCATTCAGCTGCTGATGCACTCGCACTGTTTAATCTTGACAGCCATTACCATCATTATGATTTGCTTCAATGTGCGATCGGCCTTCATTCTGCTCATTTGCATTGGCTTCTACACCCTCTCCGTACTGCTCAATATGGCCACGTGTGCCCATAAGACAAGTGAGTTGATTGATCATAATATATATATATAATCCAATTAATAATCAATTGTTTTTATAGATTTCCTGTGGCTCATTCCCCATTGCCTCTGCCAGCTGCTGCCCTTCATGTTCTACACCTACTGCTGCTATGCCTCCTACGTGGTGCTTGCGCCCATGCAGGGACGCGAGAGCGGCTCGAATCCGGATCTGCTTATCGGAGTCTATACGGCGCTGTTCTGCTTGCTGCTGTCTCCGTTTATAATACCCCTGCTCTGCCTGTTCCGTAAATCGAAGACCATCATCTCGCTCTTTGGCATCTGCACGCTCGTCTTCATCATTCTGGCTGCCACGCCCGTGGCATTCCCATATGTGGAGAAGACGGCAGTGCAGCGATTCTTTGCTGTGGTAAAGCGCATTACATTTGCCTTGGCTACAATTCATTTCTTACTCATTGGCCCATTTCGTATCTCCTCATTCAGCACACGACGCGCACTTTCCACAATGCAGACGCAGCGCATTCCGTCAACCACACGGACTCCGGCTACTTTGTGATGCCCGTGGATCGGCATCCCAACTCGGTGGATAGCATTCTCTTTGAGGGAACCAACTTGACGAAGGCGGATCGCAGTACGTGTGACACTGAAATTATGTGCGGCTTTCCCATCTACAGTTCGCGTTGGGTGAAGGCAGTGTAAGAACCAGAGATCGCCCCACAAGCTCATAATAATCATAATAATTCTTCTCTTGATATTCACAGGGATAATAGCTATTGGGTGCCAGGCCCAGAGCCGAACAAAGACTATCTGCCCACGCTGCGCATAATAAACAAGGAGAGCACCTCGAGAACGAACATAATATTCACTTTAGAGGTGGCTGGACCGGATCATGTGAGCATATTCATCGAACCGCGTCAGGGAGCCAAGCTAGTAGACTGGACCTTCACCAAGGAGCCGTTGGAGAAGTCTCTACCGCCGCCTCACTACGTCTATTGGTCTTATGCCTTAGACCCGACACCCATGCGCTTTAATTTGGAGTTTGAGGTAAATATTTGAGGAGCTGGCATCTCAAAGAATATTATTTCTATTGATTATTTTTACTCTTCACTGACAGCACAATAGTGAGGATTGGTCTGGCGCCACGTTCAGGGTCGCCATCATGGGTCACAGAATACACGACGATATGTTCATAGACAAGGACTTCCGAGAGTTCCTGGCCAGGTTTCCGCCCTGGGCGCACGTCAACTCGTGGATCGGCTCCTACAACAGCTGGCAGCTCTAAGGGCAGCCGAGTCAGCAGATGCAACGCTTGATATTCACTCACTACTCATGGTTCGGAGACTCTGAACTGTTGTTAAGTTTTCGCATTCATCCGCATACTCTGAACACAAATTCACATATGATACTCGCACAGGCGAACGTCCAACGAACAAAAATTATAATTCTAGACTCTAATTGAAGCCATCTCCCATTTTTGTGCTAAATCACTGAACAAATATCCGAGGCGATAAGATTGTAATTGTATGAAAATATATTTTAAATAATTTATTAAGTTATAGACATCACTTGAACCGTTTGCCAGTAATTTCCCTAGAAGATCCAGCTCTCGTACGAGGCAAGCCAGTCGGTGGTGTAGGTCCAATCCGGAAAGGTGCTCAGGAACTCCCGGAACTCGGGCGTATAGTGTTCCGGATGGTACAGGAAATGCACGCTCACTGCCAGCTTGAAGTAGGGCCCGTCCGTATTCGCTGCGTCGTGCTCGAACTCCAGCCAGAAGTTGTAGGGCTCCGTGACCAGGGAGGTCACGTGGTATACGAAATAGGGCGCAGTATGGCCATCTACCAAGATCGTCTCATCGAACGACCAATTCGTGATCTTCACTTTCTCCAAGGGATCAACGTACATGACAATGCGATCGCCCGCCTTGAGGCTGAACTCGAATCGCTTTTTGCTCAAGCTTATGGACTGCCGCGATACTTCTGTGAGCTCTGTGGCCACTGGCAGAGCGGGAGCAGAACTGTAAATCCAGCGAGCAGAGTCCCTGAAAGAGAATCAGATCTTGTATATAGAGTAGTGTAAATACGACTCAGTTGAGACCTACTTCCAGTTGAGCCAACGTCCACTGTAGAGCGGTAGGCCGCAGTAGGGCTCCTCTGCGCAATTATTCTTGAGCCAAATCTCTGGCTCGACATTCTTAAGCGTTGTGTCATACAGCTCCGAGTATCGAGTATCCACGGGCTGTATGTAGAAGCCCGTTTCTTGAGTCGTAGTTCCATCCGACATGTGCAATGTGCGTTGGGTGTGCTGAAAGCAACCGGAGGTTACGACTGAGTAGTCACAGGGGAGTTGAACTGAGGAAACTCACCAGAACGTAGTATCGCTGTGCGGCAACATCCTTCTTGAAAGGAAAGCCAGCAGGCGTGGCGGCCAATATGATGAATACGATGATTAGGACACCAAACATGGAGATAAAGGTCTTCGATTTGTGGAATTTGAGTAAGACTGGCACCTGAGAAGGGGGATAACTATAACGATAACACTATACCCAAGCAGAGATGTAATTCTCTGAAACATACTATGAATCCAGCGAAGTGCATTGTCATGAGAGCAATGAACGCTGCGAGCAGCATATCGGGCTTGCTGTCGGGTCCATCGCGTCCCTGCATGGGCACAAAGACCAGCAGGAACACGTACATCAAATAGGTGTAGAAGAAGAAGGGCAAAATCTGGCACAAAATGTGAACAGTAAAGAAACAATCTGCGCGAGAGAGAGGCAGAGAAGACTTAAGAAGAAAAAAGACATTTCAATTTATATATCACCTACTCTTAATGGTCAGTCTCAGGATAAACTGCACAATCAGCGAGACTGTGTAGAAGAAGAGGGCAATCATGGGGAAGAAGGCTGAGCGTATGCCCAGACCTGTCAGGAGCAGGCAAAGGAAGACAATCAGAATGCAGTGGGCATGCATGAAACAGGCAATGGTGTGATTCAGCTTCATGTAGGTCTTGCGCTTGGTCCAGCCAATGTAGAAGGCGGGCAGCAGGCCCAGTCCGAGGAACATGGGACAGAAGTACAGGCCGAAGGTCATCCAAATGCCATAGTACCAGGACTCGCCCAGGCCAACGGCTCGCATGAAGACAGCCACGAGCAGGGTCAAGCCCCAGGCGATGATCACTGCGCCCAGCTGCACCAGGCAAATGGTGCCAAAGCGCAGGACCACCGCCTTGGGTGCATCCACCACATTGTCCTTGGTCATGAAGTAGACGGATATGCCAATGCAGATCAGAGCGGCGAGGGACACGACGATGTTAATGGCAATGCTGGCACTCTCGGTATAGACGACAATGAACCAGCCGAGGTAGTCGAAGAAGACAGCGTGTCCCTCTTCGTGGGCGGCGGTATCATCCAGCTCCGGGGCGTTGGCCAGCGCCCAGGTCAAGGCCAGCACATTCTCGCCCGTGGACTGATAGGTGCCACGCGCCAGATTCTTGAAGTTGTCGTACTTGGTGTGGTAGACATAGCCGTTGAGGGCATGCGCCATGTCCAGGCCGGGCACATTGCCGAAATCGCGGAATATGCGAAAGTCCGTGTCGGAGGGTATAAAGTTATTCTGAAAGAGCTCCTCGCCGAGCGTTATGGAGAAGGGGTGCGGTGCATGCTTCTGATAGTAGTTCATCAGCCAGGGATGATTGGGGCCTGTTTGGAACAAAACCTCACGTCCGCCTGAGCCCGTCGAGTCCAAGTTGATAAGTGCCCTAAGAGGGTTGACATAGTTAGACCTGCAGAAAGAGAGGGAAAGAGAGAGAGAGAGAGAGAGAGAGAGTCTACGCACTTGCAGTTTTTGGCCCATTTATGTTTTGTGATGAAGCCATGGGCACCCAGCATGTTGGCTTCCTCCGCGCCATTGAAGAGAAAGATGACGGGATGAGCCAGTGGACGGTCGGATTGTGTCATGACGCGCAGGGTTTCCAGCATGATGACCACCATGACGCCGTCGTCGCCAGCAGCCGGTGTCTTTACCTCCGAATCGTAGTGTGAGTTAACCAACAAATAATTGTCGCTGGGACTATCCTTGCGGGAGAGCCGCACCACCACATTGGACACATTGTCGTAGCTGGTGGCCGCATCCCACAGATAGAACGAGCCCGAGGCGTACTGCACCTCCAAGTCGATGTCATAGAGATCGGTGCGCGACTGTTCCACAATCCTTTCCACCTCGCGCTTCAGAAAGTTCACCACGTGCACCTCATTATTTATGGATCCAACCATTTTGTTGCCAATCGATGAGTACTCGGCCAGCTGGATCATGGCACGCTCGCCAATGAACTCGCCCGGATGATTGGCCTCATCGCGCACATACAGCATTTTGGGATACGAGAAGAAGCTCGGAATGGCGGCCACATAGAACAGAGTGAACCAGATCACGCAGAAGATGGGTGCCCCATACCAAGGCCACTTATCGCCGCGCTTTTTGGAGGCTTTCTCCCCAGATGTTATGTCAACGCTGGAGAAGGACATCTGCGAGAGAAGAAGGAATGTGCAGAGTGTTAGATATATCGAGCAAACTAATCTGTTATTATAATTATTTTGATTACTTTCTTAGAGAACTTCCCTAATGTATTTATTTTATTTTCTAGTCCCCTCTTGTCAGTAAAAGTTTTTACTAAAGTCTTTCCAATCTTAAGAATTCCACTTTAAGCTGATGAATTACCTTTGTTTTATTAGTTGACCTTTGTGAGTACTTTGTGAGTACTTTGTGTGCTTAACTAAACGCAAGAAATTGAACCGCAGCGCAACACCCGAGTCGGAAAATTAACAAATGAAATGGCAATTAATGCAAACATTTCGGCTCTATGCCAATAAGTCGGGACTTATCGGCGATAATGCCTTGTAGATTACGACTTGGCGATAACAAGCCGCAAATTTGGGGGGTTTATGGCTTGATGGCCAACGGTTAGATTAAGCTTTATGCCGGCATATATCTTATTGCCGAACTAAACTAAAGGAAAATAAATATTTATAATGCGCGATGATCATTAGCTTAAAAAAGAAAACAATATTTAGCGGAAGAAAAGAAAAACAACAGAAATTGATTGGTCGAAATCAGTAAACAAAAGAAAAACAAAATTCAAAACGAATCACATTTCGTTCAACGAATCAGCTCCGAACTCAGTGTCGAAGTCAACTGAAATTCGAATCCAATCGTGTTTTGAAATATTTTGTATAGCTGAAATGGGAGATTCAAATCGCTACAGAGCAACCTACGGGGATTACCACTACACAACGGAGAAAGCTACCCGAAAAGCGCTGCTCCACATGATTCTGTTCGTCATCTTTTTGACATGTGCGACGAAGATTGGCCACGATTTGATAGTGCATGAGCAGTATTTCTTTATCAAGGGTTTTCGAAACTTACTTGAAACGCCGGATTTCTTGAATGATGACGGCTCCATTTCTTTCAGTCATGTCATTACAATTACCGACTTTTGGGACTTTTTGCAGTTTGGGGTCCTTTCCATGCTGCATGGCAATGTCAATAATCATTCGGTTAACCATTTACATGAGCACCGCGTGATTCACAGAACACAGAACTTAAGAGGCCGCTTATTTCTAGACGAAAACCTATTGCTTGGCCCACCGAGGCTGCGCCAGGTGCGTGTCAAACAGGGCGACTGTGAGGTGCCCAGCTCGCTCTTGGGCTACTTCAACGAATGTTATATGCCCTATTCGAAGAGCGATGAGGCCACTGATGCGGTCTATAAGGGGTAAGGCATTCGCATGGCTGTAGAGATCTCGACTATCCCTTTTCACTTAACTAACAGCACACGGTTCTATACAATGGATGAACTGGAGACCAAACCCATCGAGGCACCACTGCATACCTATCACACTGGAGGCTACGTGAAACTGTTGTCTTACGAAGCGCATAAGAGTCTGGCGATCGTGCGGCATTTACGCAGTATCAAGTGGTTAGACCGTGCTTCACGTTTGGTCCTGCTCGAGATGAATATGATCAATTTGAACATGGACCTAATACTCTCCACTAAGTGAGCCACTCCCACTCCAATCGTCAATCATTCATGCACTAACCATTCACAAATTCCAGATTAACTTTCGAGATAATGACAACCGGGTTTATAAACACCAAGTACAACTCGCAAGCGTTCTACACGAGTCCACTGATCGGTGGCTTCGCAACGGAGTGCTCCATTGTAATCTATATAATTAACGTATATTACACCTACCTTGAGGTGAACAAAATTACTCGCATCGGCCTTCGGCTATACTTTAAAAAGTTTTCAACATACACATTTGTACCTAGTATTTTCGTAAGCTGATGATCTCCATTCACATAAGTCTGCAAACCATTATCATTATCATTCACTTTCTAATTAGATCTGTTACACGTTAATTTATATGCATATCTCCTCGACCTATTACTCCGCAAAATTCAAGTCTGCCATGAATTCGGAGAGTGTCGATTTCGTTCCGTTGGACCATTTGCTGTACACATTTTCGACTCAGCAGATCCTAGTTGGATTCTTGGTTTTCTTTTCATGGATGGGCCTTTTAGCATATATAGACTTTGTGCCACTTCTAAGAACTTTGGGATGTTCTATAAAGAACGTATGAGCTGAGCTGAACAGAATCTGAAGTCTGCAGCTAATTGAATATTATTCATTTCATTCCGTTTAGGCCTTCACCGACTTGGCTGCCTTTTTCATCATGGTCTCCGTGGCGTTTTTGGCCTTTGCTCTGCTTGGCATGTGCCTGTTTGGCGAGAAAAATTCCAACTTCAAAAATATCTCGTCCGCATTCTTAACTATGCTCCGCATGACGGCTGGCGACTTTAACTACTTTGAATTGGCACAGGAATTCCCAGTGTGGGCATCCTTATACTTTTTTACTTACGTGCTCTTCATATTTTTCGTTGCATTGGTAGGCGATATGAGATTGACCTGAATTTATTGCGTTTGCAGTCAATAGACCTATCTGATTTCTGCAGAACATGATCCTGGTCGTTATTGTGTTGGCCTACAAAAAGGCCACAGCGTTGAGTGCCTACAAGCCCTCCTTTCTGCTGTACTATATAAGAAAGCAAATCTTTCGTCTGACCTGCGGCCTTTGTAAGCCTCCCCGCTATCCACATAACAGTCAAGAAAATCAATTCGGCCACATGTTCAACGAAGAAAGGCTGCAACAATTGTAAGCTACGATCGGGGATAATTTGAGTAAGCTTTTAATATTCTCTTTGTTACCATTGCAGGTATATTACCAAGGAGTTTACGGAAATCGAGTCAGACCTGAATATGTAATGAGCAAGTATATTCACTATGCATTTCATATATTTATTGACTTCTTTGCAGACTACATATTCGGTTGAATCTAATTGACAAAGTACTTAATCGTTTCACGAATAACATGGATGACATAATAGCTAATGTGAAAAAGCAAAATAAGCAGCAAATTAACAATCCAGAAACTGTCTAAAAAGTTAACTGAATTGAACTATAAAATAATAATAATAACGAAGTCCATTCTGTGCCCTCAGTTGCATATTGCAGATTGCCTTGGTTAAACAAACTAATATACTCGACCGCACTTTGCACACAGTGTATAGTTATGGCCAGGCATTTAATCAGTGCCAAAACCGTCAGCACAAACCGTTTATACTGTTGGCCATATCTAAATGACGGCACTGCGAGGTAGCAGCAATTTTAATACAAATATTTATAGTTGATAAACAAATAAATATAGTTTATGGAAAAGAATATTGAATATTTAATCAGCGATTGACGTATTATTTAGTGGAAGTTCTTATCCAACTTCCGTTTGTCTATGACCAACAATCAGTAAGAGCTAGAGGGTATGTTTTTTTCCTTTTTCTTTTCTTTTTCTTAAACATATTTTTTATTTTTCACTTTTTACCTGCATTATATTATGTTTCACTACAATTACTCATATATATAATAAATGTTGTATAAAACAGCTCAAATCGTTTTAGTATAACCACGTCTCATAGGACGCCGGCCAGGGCGTTGCATCCACGTAGCTGGGGAAGCTGTCGAGGAATTTCTTAAAGTCAGCTGTATGCAATTCCTTGTGGTGAATCCAATGGCCATGCAGGCCCAGCTCGAACGTAGATGTCGTCCAGTTGCCATTGGGTTTCTGCCGAGTATATCATTTTAGGGAGAACTAAAAGAGATAGACAGTGAACTCACCTCGAGCTCCAGCCAGAATTTCAGTGCATCTCCATTGACGCCATAGGAGAAGTAGATGTAATAAGGTGGCTTATAGTTCAGGCGGAGCGGCGCCTGGTGGATGGACCAGCCAACGACTCGAGCGCCATTCAGCGGCTGTATGACGATGCCCATGTGATCCGGGCCACTGAGCTCCATTTCGAAGCGCATCTTATTGGCCGTCAGCTGCTTCTTGGAAACAACCTTAACCACTGGCAGTTGGCTCAGAACAGGCGCCGAGGCAGGAATCCACAAGCCACGTTCTCTGCAATTGTTAAATGAATGAATAGAGTCTCTCTTAGAGTCTTGAGAGTCTTACCTGGTCTTGTGCCAGCGCATGTTGTATAATGGAAAGCCGCAGAGGGTCTCCTTTTTGCACTCATCTTTCACAGATCTGGCCAGGGTCATGTTGATGACCTTATCTGCATGGGACGACATTCGTTAGATAATATAAGATTTCCTCTATAAGGGGAATACCTACTTTTAACGGAGTAGGTGCGTCTGTCCTGTGGCATGATGAAGTAACCCGATTCGGAGCGGCGCACATTGTTATTCGCATCGTGGAAGGTGCGCTGGGCGTGCTATAAAAGGATAAGGCTCATTGAATGGGAAGCTCCTGCTGGAATCTCACTCGGCTTCACTCACCAATACTGCAAAGCGTTGCACACTTGTCTCCGGCCGGTAGGGGAAGCCCAAGGGGGTGACAGCAATGATGATGCACACCAAGGTGATGCCCAGCAGAGCGCAAATGATCGTCTTGGATTTGCGGAACATGTGCAGCATGGGCACGATGAAGCCGGCGACAAGCAGACCCACAGCAGCGCTGAAGACGGCTATGATCAGGTCCGGATTGGCTGAGTCGCCAAAGCGACCCAGCATCGGAATAAAAGTGGCCAGGAAGCCGTGCGAGAAGTAGGCAAAGAACACAAAGGGAGGCACATAGCAAACGATGTGCGGAATGATCCAGGCAACGTCTGCGAAGTAGAAGAGATAAATAGAAATTACGGTATAAAAGGGCCACTGAGTGGTGCAGCTTACTGCGGCTATGCAGACTGGTGGACAGATTGAAGACCACGCCCACCGTGTAGAAGAGGCAGGTCAGCATGAACACAAATGCCGAGCGGATGCTGCAGATGGTCAGCACCAGGGTGAGCAGCGCCAGGAAGAGGCAATGGCAGTGCAACAACAGCTGCACACGCTGTCCAATGGGCAGTCGATCCTGGAGAGAAGAGAGAATTCAGACCAAATTACAGTCAGTCAATCGGGAGTACTCACAGTCGAGGTGTAGTGGAAGTAGAGAGCGGGCACAATGGCCAAGCCAAAGAAGAAGGGACAGAAGTAGAGGCCCAGGATGAGCCAATTCTGGGTGAACCAGGAGAGCGGTAAATGCACCAGATCCATGAACACGGCAATGATAATGGGCAGTGCGAGGCCTGCGATCACGCCCAGGATGAGCATGCCGAAGGTGTGCAGCGTGCGCTTGAGCACTTGGCCGAGCTTGAGGCCAGAGTTCTTGGCCATGAGCATGATGGCAACGACACAGGCCACAATCGCGCCTATGGCCACGACCACATTGAGAATGATGCCCTCCGTTTCGGTATAGAAGACCAAGAACCAGCCCATCACATCGTAGTAAACGGTGTGTCCCTCGGCGTGTTTCTGTGTACAAATCCAAGACGTTAGTTCTTTAGCTATGAATATTTCCATAAAATATTACCGAAGTATCCTCAAGCTCCGGCGCACTGGATATCTCGCGGATCAGAGCCAGGAGATTGTCGCCGGTATTCTGGAAGCTGCCGCGTGGAAAGATCTCCGCACGATCGAACCGGGTGTGGTAGACATAGCCATTGTGCTGGTAGGCCATGTCCAGGCCGGGCACAGCGCCATGATCGCGGAATACGCGAAAGTCCGTGTCGGAGGGTATGAAGTTGTGTTGGAACATCTCCTCGGCCATGGTCGAGGCGTACGGGTGCTTGATGGCGCGTCGATAGCTCTTCATGAGCCACGGGTGATTGGGGCCGGACTGGAAGAGAATCTCGCGACCGCCATTGCCAGCCGAGTCCAAGTTGATCAGCGCCCTGTACATTAAGCAGTAAATGGAACTTAGTGGAATCATCATGAATGAGGATTAGGTGAGGGTCACCCACTTGCAGTTCTTGGCCCACTTGTGCTGCGTGATGAAGGCGTGCGAGGCCTGCAGCGGATTCTCCTCGGCGCCGTTGAACAGGAAGACAGCCGGATGCTTGAGGGCATACTTCGATTTGGCCAGCACGCGCAGAGTCTCCAGCATGACGGCCACCATGGAGCCATCATCGCCAGCGCCGGGGCCCGCCGGCACCGAGTCGTAGTGGCTGTTGATGAGGACGTAGGTGGTGCTATTGGAGCCCTTTGGACTGATCTTGACCACAAAGTTCTGTATGCTCTGGTACATATTGACGGCTTCCCAGTGGATGTAGCTGCCGGAGGCCACCTGCACATCCACTTCGATGTCATGGACAGAGCCCAGCTCGGCGCGCACCTTTTGCATGGTGGACGTGATCACCTGAACGGATCCCATTTCATTTTCGCGGCTGCCCACCACGCGCGGACCCAGGGCCACCAGACGCTGCAGATTCAGCTCGGCGCGCTCGGCGATGAAGCGTTCCGGATTCTTGGCCTCATCCTTGATGCTGAGCGGGCGTGGCAGGTGATTGGCGGCCGGTATGGATATGGCACAGTAGATGAGCAGCCAGAACAGGATGAAGCCGGGCGCCCAATACCATTTGATCTTCTCGCGGCTGATAAAAGCTCGTTCGCAGCAGTTGGCTTGCTGTGGGCGAGTGGAAAAATCGGCAATAGTGGGTTAGTGGTTGAAGTGGTTGCGGGCTTTTTGGGTGGTTCGTGATGTTTGTTCAAGATACGGATAGGTGAATCAGTTTTTAATTAAAGCATTTTCAACACTTTTTGGGTCGACTATAATGTGCTAATAGTTCGATTTAATCCATCACGACTTTATCTTATCGTCGCGTCGGTCCACATAGCTGCGCTCTGTGCAGCTGTTCCCACCGCAAATTGCCACCCCGATAAGCCCCAGTGAAGGCTATGTGACAGAAATGGGAGTAGGAGCTGCAGCTGCCACAGACAATCGACGCCCGAATTGGCAAATGTCTGGTCCGATAAGGCATCGAGACACAGAACTCTTTCACATTGCACCACCCGAATTAGCTAATCTTATCAATGGGTATCGAAAAAACACTTGTTGCTCTTGCTCTAGCTTTAGCTTTGCGCATTCTTTCGACACTTGTGCTATTTGAAGGGCCTCTGGCTTATCGATCGACTGCCCCTCCGCCCCTCAGCTCACCTCGTCGTCTACCAGGTGCAGCTGCCGACCCGCCAGCAGTGGGTCCGCATTGCTGGCTTCTGAGGTCGGCGTGATGACGCGTCGCCTCAATTTCTTTTCACTGATCATTTGATCTTTGTTGTTCGCTTCTTCAACCGGTCCCAGCGAACGTGTCTCTCTGTACACAAACAAATGTACTTATACAAACGACCTATGCTCTCACGCTGTCTTGCGCTCTCACTCTCTGGCGCTCTGCGGCGCTCTCGCTCTCTTTGTATGGAGCTCGTTGCGCGAACCAGAATGAACCGTACGACTTGCTTAGAGGCTCGCCACTGATCGACCGACTGACGCAGCGTTTGAGCAACGACTGAGCCCAGGAAATTGTTTCGTCTAGGTTTGCAGTCGATACCGATATGTTCGTATCTTATCTGCATGGCCTTTGGTTTCCTGCAAGTTCAGCCGGGCTAGGCGCTACACTTGCAGAGTGCCAGTTGTGTGCTGGAGCATCGAATTAGTTGCTATATTTATTGCAAATGATTTATGGCAATAGAAAACTCCACAATCGCTGAAACACACCTTTATCTATCCTCTGCTCCACATTTATTATTGGGGCAAACATTTTCAGAGAAACAATGTAATTTGTTTGTTTRCAGCACAGTTTTGTTTGTGGACTTTAGCAGATTAAAAGTGCAGTCCGCTCGGGCAAGTGCGTATCAACGTATATCGCAATGCAGCACGTCACTGGGAAACTTAGTTTTGTGCAATAGTTAGAATGCCATGACCTATGCCATGGCACGTCCTGCACGAACATTCGGATTACGAGCAAAAGTTTTGATTGTTTATAATTTGTACCTTGGCAACTTTATCCTGTGCCTCACTGCACATTGTAACTCGTCAGCTGGAACGTTTGATATGTATATTGACTGTCGCTGCTGCTGTTGCTTATGGTAGTAAAGTACACCCTTGACTAATCCCATCAGCATCAGCAACGGCGCCGTTTAAGCGTCAAGTCAAACATCAGTTGACTACGCAGATGAGAAGGCGGCAGTTCTTTAATTATTCCCTTGGCTCGAATATCTGTGCAATCCACTTAGCGGCCGACAGTCCATATCGTACGTGTTTGCTTCTTAAATGTACATATGCCTAAATAAATAATACGATTTGCTAAATATTCAATGAGACATCGATGGGCTCTGCATACGTCTGGCCACGAAATTAGAAACACGTAAATATGATGCCAAATTTATAAATAATGAATTCAATATATAAAAGTATGCTACGCTGCTCAAGGCCAGCAATCTTAAGCTACAACAAATCGCAGTCGACTTAGTAGCTGGCTTTTTGAAGGTATCTTTGGAAATATGTAAATACAATAAAAATTATTAAATTCTGTTCATAATCTAAGGGCTATATGTCCAGATTTCTTCTGGTTAGACTGCTGCTAGTATTACAAGAATCTAATTTGGTTTGCATAACTCTCCAGTTGCTTCATTTAGACTCCATCTCAATTAATTTACATTCAAAATTGTTTTCTTTTCAGACCTATATGTGTGTTAAAAAAAAAAAAAATTTTTTTTAAATGTAAGTCCAAAATAATATATATATATATTCACAAATATT